TTATGCACAGTAGAATTGTAAATGGGCTGATTGATCAATGTTATGCTCATACTGTGCCGGAACAACATAGGGGGAACTGCTTCTTTTTCATTCCTCATCCTTACTATCGTCATTTTCCTCTACTTCTTTTGTAAGTTTATCACTCTCTTGTGAACTGCTATTTCCGGGGTGCCTTGATAGTCAAAGCAGACTTTGTGCTTTTGAAGCTAGAGAGGTGAGTAGAGTAAGTCTGATTCCCCGTTTGGACTTCTCTGTTGATCTCCACCCCTTTGCGCTCATATGACCTTATGCAGTTGCGAGTGCCGTAAAACCTTACTGAAACTAATTTTCTCTGAGGGAGATCTTCCCTGCTCTTTGAGATAATCTCTTATACTCTCTGAGGCATGGTTCTGTACTGTCTGGGGGATGATTCTATACTCTCTGAGATACCCCATACTCCTCTTACATAATATCCCACACTCTATCAGGGTATCTTCTACACTCTCTGAGGTAATATCCTTTACTCCTGTGGGTGGTTGAAGGGTGCTTTGGTGTGGTTTGTCCTTCTTTTCTATCAAACATCTATCATCTTTATATTTCCTCCAACTTTTCTTTGTATGTTATTATTTTACAACTCCTGTAATCTTTGGCACTTATATGACCTTATTGTGTTGCTATTGCCATAAAACTCTTTCTAAAACGAGCTTGATTTCTCCTTTTTTTTCTTCTTTGTGTAATTCTCTCTTGTAGTAACACCTACTTTAATCTTCATCACTTATGTACCTGTAACCTAATTGTGTTGCAAGTGCTGTAAAACTGTTACTACAACTAAATGACTCTGTGTCCCCTCCCCCTGGAGTTGGTGTTTGGCGGGCGGGTGCTCTGGTGTGGTTTGCTTCTTCTATCCTATCAAACGTCTATTGTCCTTATCTCTCTTCCTTCTTTTTTATGTTTGTTACTCCCTTGTAACACCTTTAATCTTCTGGCGCTCATATGACCTTATGCAGTTGAGAGTGCCGTAAAACTTTTACTAAAACAAACATGATTTCTCCTTTTTTTTCTATGTATGATTCTCTCTTGTAGTAACACCTACTTTAATCTTCATCTTTTATACGACCTAACTGTATTGCAAGTACCATAAAACTGTTACTACAAATAAATCAGTGGGTGGTTGGCGTATGCTGTGGCGTGGTTTGCTCCTTCTGTCCTATAAAAAAATCTATCGTTTCTCTCTTCCTTCTTTTTTTGTGTTTGTCACTCTCTGGTAACACCTCTAGTCTCCGGCACTTATACTCATATGACCTTATTGTGTTGCAAGTGCCGTAAAACTCTTTCAAAAGCAACTAAACCAAACTGGTTCTCTCTCCCCCATTCCCCCCCAGGCTCCCAGTCCTTGCAGTGTGATGACAGCGGTCAGTGTCCGTGCAAGCCCGGGGTGGGTGGACAGAGGTGTGACCGCTGCCTGCCAGACTTCTACGACTTTGGCGAGTACGGGTGCAGGTAAGGGCGAGGCTTAACTCCCAGATTAGACGAAACAAGTTTCCTCTTTGGCTCGTTTGTTTTAGAGATGGAGGGTTAACTTTGAGGTTCCGCCTCTTAACTCTTTATCCGCGGCTAGCTGCTGCCAGTTGCTGGCTGTCGGAACTGCTGTGCCGGTGGGTCGCTGACAGCGGCTCAGGCACATTCCTCTACTACGACTCTTGACATCAAATTACTTCTCAGCAATAGCCGAAAACAGGTCTCTTTTATCGGGATTTCATTCATTAGATGAAGAACTATCGTAACAGGCTTGCTTGTTTTGATTTAATGATCAATTTTGTGACGTTTTTGTTATTTTTAGATTTAGTACCAAAAGAGGGCACCGGCATAGTGGGTTTACCCCCTCGGAGATAAAGAGTTAAATAACCTAATAGTGTTGATCGGGGCATTAAACCTTTACCGATTCATTTCACCATTGTATCACCTATAATCTTCGGCGCTTATATGACTGAATTGTGTTGCAAGTGCCGTAAAATGCTTACCAAAACATAACTAAAAAAGTTTTTGTTGTGTCTGTCCGTGTGTCCCCACAGGCCATGCACGTGTATGGCGGCCGGCAGTTTGAACAACGAGCCTCGCTGCGACTCACAGACCGGACTCTGTCAGTGCAAGGAGAATGTGGACGGGCGGCAGTGTGACAAGTGAGTCGTTTGTTTGTTTGTTTATTTGTCTGTTTGTTTGTTTGTTTGTTAGTTCAATGAGGGGTTGGTTGGAGGGTGCTCTGGTGTGGTTTGTTCCTTCTTTCCTATCAAACATCTGTAGTCCTTATCTCTCCTCCTTCTTTTTTGTGTTTGTTACTCTCTTGTAACACCTCTAATCTTCGGCAACTAATGACTTTATTGTGTTGCAAGCGCAGTAAAACACTAACTAAAACTAAAACTATCTCTCCTCCTCCTTTTTTGTGTTTGTTACTCTCATATAACACCTCTAATCTTCGGCACTTATATATGACCTTTTTATGTTGCAAGTGCCGTAAAACGCTACACACTAAAACCAAACATTTCTCCTCCCACTTGTAGATGTAAGCCAGGCTTTTTCGGACTGAGCCCGGAGGACCCGTTTGGCTGCATCTCGTGTTTCTGCTATGGCCACTCGTCCGAGTGTACCTCGGCCACAGGATTCTACCCGGCCAACATCACCACGGACTTCGACACAGGTAAGTGTACCATGGGGCTTGTGGTTCACTGGAGGGGAGGGG